AGAGAGAGAGAGAGAGAGAGAGAGAGAGAGAGGCTCCATCCTTATTGGAAGGAAAGTTCAATGTATCTATTGATTTTCTTTTGCATCAAAATCTCATCTTTGTGCTCTAGATTCAAATTAAAACCATTGGCCTTAATTTCTTCCAATGAAATTAGCTAGGCACTATAATTTGTTTTATTTTATAATTATTTGGTCTTTGAAGAATCTTCATTATTTTTCATTAATGGATGATCCACGTAGTGTGATAAGTTAATTAAAAAAATTTATTTGCATGTCTAACTTTGTATTTAGAATAATGTCAATTACTTCGATTTTAAATAGCACTCTGTAAAGATGATGCTCTATAAATATGGCATCATCTGTGTCTGTTCTACATTCATTATTTTATGCTTGATATTTAAATAATAAAATTGGGGAAATGATCAAAATAATCCCTAACTATATTAAAGTCCATTTTTGGTCCTTTAAATCCTTAAAAATAAATCAAAATAGTCTCATGGTGGGATTATTTTGTTTCCTCTTTAAAGTGTTGAGGGATCAAAATGGTCTTTTAATATAGTTGAGACAATTTTGTAAAGAGTCAAGGGACTATTTTGGGCCATTTCTCAATAAAAATTTTATGGTTTCGCTCCTAGCTAATTCTTATGTTGCAGCTAAAAGTTGTGCACTTATAAGTTGATGTTTCAAATATTGAACAATTGTTAAATTTTGCAATTTTGTTAAAGAGCTATCTCAGTTGGAGCAGTATCCTACATGGACATTGAAGGGTACAGATTTAAGAGAGATGTTCTTTTCTGCTATGATCTGGAGCTCTCGTCTGATTTTGTTCCTAAGAATGAAGGCGAGTTTTATTGCTTCTCTTTTGTGCAAATGAAAATTTTCCTTGCTGCCCGATCTTTGTTTCTTCATTTTGCTTACCTCAACATTTACCCTCATATGCAACTTCAGCATCTCATTTAAACTATCAACAATGGTTTTAGTGTAATGTGCTCTATGAAATTGTTGCAGCAAAGGAGAATGTAGGGTTGAATTCTATGTGGGTGGATCTTATTGTCAGAACCTAGTTTTGTAACTTCACAACTATTGAAGGGAGGAGAGGGCTTTGGCCAATATAGAGTGCCCAGACTTCTGGGAGGAATTTTTGGGAGAGAGGGGGAGAAAGCCAAAGCTTCAAGGGTTTACATTTTTGCTTCCTTGCCCTTATACTTAACATCAGTATTAATAACCATAGCGTCACTTATTAAAAATTCTTAGTAAACTTAAAAAAACGCGATAATACTGATATTATAATTATCTATTAATTGCCCCATCACATTTTATTCCGTAACATTCCCCACGCCTTCACTACAACTTTATTCTCTGGGTCGAGCAAATTGTGGAGAAATCAGAAGGCTGCTGTCATCGCTTAGAAGCTTGGGAGGATAAGGATGGTGAATTTGGGCGTATGGGTGAGCTGGTGCAATTGTAGAGCGTGGAAGATGAATCTAAACAGAACGATGAAATTGGATGCAAATTCTAGCGGATTTGGCACAGGTGATCAAGTATGCGATGATGGTTTACTGGTTATGGTGAAAGGTTTATGGAAGTGACTAGATCGGCCATGACAACTTGGGGGCGTCTGGCAACAGTGTAGTTGGAAGCTATTTTTAACCTCCATTTATTCTCCACAACCTAACAATTAAGAAACGTGACTTCGTGCAAGTCTTGCTGGTGATGCACCACACAAATAAAAATCACTTAGGCATGACTAGTCCGTAAAACAGACTATATCAGAAGTAGAACTTCTGGTACATGAAAAGTAAACTTGGAACTAAAAAAAACTGTCAAGCAGAAAGAGAAGAGCTACTGTAGCAAAAATACTAGTGTCACACAGCAACTGCTGGTTAGTAAGTATAAAACTAGTAAATAAACTGCTAGCAAACAACTGAAAATTACAGTATGGTGTCAAGCTAATAAATAATTGTTTTCCTCTCAAACAAACAATTAAATTAATGAACATCCTAGTCTATAGGATTAAGTTGTAAGACCCATTATTGGGGCAATTCTAAGTAAAGTAATAAGACCCATATTTTAGGAAATATCTAAATAAAATGCAATATCCCTAAAATCTCAACCAAATTCAAAATTAACCGGCCGTTTAGCCTATAGAGTTAAATTGTAAGACCCACAAATGAGTTACTTCTTAAGGGAAGTAGTAAAGACCCGTTCTACCCAAATAACTATGTAACTTCTAATGGGAGTCGTGAGACTTATTATTTGGGAAATAAAATATGAAACATTTGAACAAAAAAAAAAGTAACAAACATTTTAATCTAAAGGATTAATTTGTAAGGCTCACTTTTAGGCTACTTCTAAAGGGAAGTTGTAAGACCTATCCAAATAATTCAAACAACGGGCCGCCTTTTTATAGAGCTAGGTTAGGTTGTAAGACCCATCTTTGGGTAACTCATGAGTAGAGCCACAAGTCCCACTCCAAATTAAACTTACAGGCAACTTCTAACGAAGTCGTAAGACCTGTCAACCAAATTCAAAACTAATGGACAGCTTTGCTGTAGGGCTTGGTTGTAGGACCTGCTAATGGGCTACTTCTAAGAGAAGCCGTAAGATCCACCTTACGGGCTACTTTCAATGAAAGCCATAAGTCCCGCAAATTCAAATACTTGGGCTACTTCTAAAAAATGCCGTAAAACTCGCCTTACGGGCTACTTTCAATGAAAACCATAAGTCACTCAAATTCAAATACTTGAGCTACTTCTAATAAAAGCCGTAAGACCCGTTTCAATTCAAACTTCTAAGTAACTTGTAAATGAAGTCATTAACCTCAAACCAAACCAACTACTGGGTTTTCTTATAGACATAAACCTCAAAATCCAATAAAACTAAAACCCGCATCTAACCATCTCAGTCTATTCGGGATCCCTGAGAGGAGGCAACCCATGACTGTTAACTAGATTCCCTGGACACTACGGTTAATGATTGTTAGTGTTGGTAGACTAAAACCTACGGTATACCCAAGACGATGAAACCATCAAATCTTGATCGGATTTACCTCCATTTTCCACACAAATGAGACTAAAATATCTAAAAAATTATTCATCATTAATTAAGATTTCTCTCTTATTTGTTAAGAGGGGTAATTAACTATGAGTGCTTGCTCTCATGGGAAGTGAGGACCCAGATCTAATTAAACCTTGACACTACCCTCAGAAAAAATCTTGTTAACTACTATCTTACCCAAGGAAGATGGAATGCTATGTCTGCAATGTAGAATTCATGCATTCGTGCCATTTTTCTTGAGCTAACAACCATCAGCAACCTTAACTACTCAATTTGAATGTTAAGGTTGATAGTCATGAAGTATAATGTCTCCTGTCATGTGATCTAATCCTCCTTAGTCAATAACCCAAAGTTTGATTGTCTTATACCGAGTGATCGTGTAGGCTAGTAATAGGTTGTGAAGACTGTTGGTTCGTGATGTTGTTAAGCAATAACTTCAGCATCTCTAAATGCTTCTTGGAGAAAGGAATGGCTTCCGCTTTGATTGATTGATCTTGCGCAGTGTTGACAGAGTTTGCCTTGCTTTCTTCTGCTGATTATTTTTCCTTCCAATCAGTTGCTTTTCCATGGATCTTCCAACATGTCTCCTTTGTATGTCTTGGTTTGACATAGTGATCACACTATGGTCTTCCTCCCTTCTTTTGATGTTGATTTTCAACATGTGAGGGTTTTCGATTGTTGCGGATAATAAGAGCATTTCCTCCTTCAACCATTGGATATCCTTATAGGCCTCCCAACATGACCTTTCTTCGGTTCTCTTCCTCAGAAAAGGCCTCCTGGAGATTTGGAAGAGGTTTGGTTCCCATGATCCATCCTCTAACGCCATCCAAGTTCTTGTTCAAACCCATCAAGAATATGAATATTCTTTTTGTCTCAACAATCTTCCGGTTAACTGCGTGATATTATGGGCATTTTCATTTATACTGTTCAAACATATCTAATTGTTGCCAATAACGGGTTAGAGTATTAAAATATTGAGTTACTGTCAGGTCCTCTTATCGGCAGTCGTGAAGGATGGTCTCAATTGCGAATAGCTCGAAAGTGTTGTCGGAACTGGAGTATGTCTTTTTAACGGCCTCCCATATTTCTTGGGCCATCTTGTAAAGAAGAAATTTCTTACCGATTTCTACATTCATGTAGTTGATGAGCCAATACATGATCTGATGATTCTCTGCTTTCCATTTTCTGTAGAGAGGATTGGTTTGCGGTGGTATAGGGGCTTCATCGGTGAGATAGTGCTCTTACTCTCTCTTGCAAATTAACATTCTCACCGATTGAGATCATTGTAAAAAATTTTGTTCATTAAATTTGTGGATTGTGATGAGAGGAGGAAGAGGAGAAGAGTTGTCTGCAGATCTAGAGTTTCTGGTGTTCAAATTGGTAATATTTTGGTAGTAGGATGAGATCTCGCTATCCATGAATATGGTTGAGTTTCCTTGGTCGAAAGAGAAGATGAATTTTGGGTAAGGGCTACCAGTGCTTGAAGAGAGGCTATCGACAGGATGATGGAGAGTTATCGCCGGATGAAGGTTCGAAGAAAAGGAGGAAGGTTTACCGCCGGCACTCAGAGAAGACTTAGGATTTTCTTAAGCTCTGATACCATGAAAATATTGTTAAGGGGAAATTGAATTTAAATTCTATTCATTGGAATCATTACATTAATATGCACTCTAAGATAATAAACATAAATAGAAAGATATTTAATCTAATTAATTATAAGAAACAGAAGAGGAAATGCATTTAATCTAATTTATTCTAATTATATTCCACAGATCTTGGTGTCAGAAGAGGAAATCTCCAATTGTAGCTCACGGATTGCTGACCTTTCAAAGCCGTGGGCCCCCTCTTTGCCGTGTGATTTAACACTATTGATTTGAATCTATACATAAAAATCACAAAAATATAGGAAAACAGCTAATTTATTGATAAGTAGTTAATGGTAGCTTGTCTAGAGTTATTGGTACAAGTGGGAGAAGAGCTTTGGGCAATATAGAATGTCTACAACTCCACATGGAATTTGGGGGAGAGATTGAGAGAGAACCAACGCTCTCTAAGGGTTTGCATTTTTTCTTCATTGCCCTAAGGCTCAATATGAGTTTTTATAGGCATAGCGACACATATTAAATACTTAATAAAGCTAAGAAAATCAATAAAACTAACATTCTTACTATCTATTGATTAACCTGTTACATTTTATGCTGACACAAATTTAAACACGGAAATCACAAAAATGCAGGAAAAAAGCTAATATATTGATAAGTGGGCAACTGTAGCTCGTCTGAGTCTCCTAGTTGAAGGGGAGCTAGGCTTTGGGCAATATAGGATGCCCACAACTACTGATGAATTTCGGGGGGGAGAGGGAGAGAGAGCCAAAGCTCCGTGGTTTTACATTTTTTCTTTCTTGCTCAGCATGAGTATTTCTACGCATAGTGTAACTTATTAAATACTTAATAAACCTAGGACGCACATTAATACTAGCATTCTAACTGTCCATTAATTAATCCATTACATTTTATTTCCTCAAATGATTTTCAAACCAGCACTCCATTACATTTTATTTCCTCAAATGATTTTCAAACCAGCACTCTTAAAGATAAGCTGAACAGATGCCAAATATGATGAACCACACCCTCTCAAACGGGTGCTATGGCTAAGGCATATCTAGATAAACGCCTTTCTTTAAGGCATCAGGCAATGCAGTGATTGCCTTGCTTGTTTTGAGTGATGGATGCTAATATTAAGTTGAGGAAATTGTAAAAAATGGTCCGAGGGCTAATTGTGAGGGTCTATTTTAGTCACAAATTATTCAAAGTGGTCAAATTTGCCCCTTATTTTCTCAAATATAATCCAAAATTGTTTCATAATTAGAACCATTGTTTATTTTGACAGGAATTTCATATAAAGTTCATGAATGAGGTGGGGAATGGGGCTATTTTTGAAAAATGAACTTATTATATATCTTAATTTGTATGAAATATCCCAATTTCTTATCTCATTTATGAACTTTGCATAGAATTTCAATCTAATTAAATAGTGTTTCTAACTGTGGGGCTATTTTAAAGCATATTTAATGAGTCTAATAATTAAATTTGAGACTTTAAATAGTTTGAGATTAACATTACCTCACACAAATAATCCAGGGAACATTTTTTATTTCATTTCAAATAGTAAAGATGATTTGCTTTTTGATGATGATAGCTTGACATAGGTAGATGTTAAAGAGCATTAAGAGTTATAGGAAAATTAGCGTACTTTTGAAAATGAGTTGGATCAAATGCTAGCACAATAGCTCAGATTTCTGTAGTAGTAAATATTAAGGATGAAGAGGATGAGTCCAAGGAAAACAAGATATACCTAGTGATATAGAAAACAATATGGATGGATGAACTTGAAATAGATATTAAGATTAAACTTTCGCAGGCTATGAATGCTAGAAACATAAGTTTAACTATATTTGTTTGTTTTCTTAGGAAAATTTTCAAACTTGGAATATTATGGAACTTGAAATCTCATTGTTTTGCACAACAAATTTTAACACAATTATCACCATTTTATATTCTTCAATAATCGTCCTCATAATTAAAATAATTTATAAGCTATAAAGCCATTTCTTTTTTTAGTGCCTAACTTCACGTAGCACCTCAGGCATTGGGAAGCCATATCGTCTTGATAGCAGTTAGTGCTATTGATAACATTGCAACACGCATGTGTATTTTATCCACTGCCTTCTTATCATCTATCTATTTTCTCAGTTTGCATGAATTATCTGAAGTGCCTGCATATATAATTGATGATCAATTTCTTAGTTTTTACTTCGCAGATGGTGAGGTTGATAGCTTCAAACTGATTCCAGTAGTTCATGTTGCAAACATTGTTCGAAGAACCGAGTTCTTTAAGCCAAACTGTTCACTCGTCATTATGGATTTTCTGTTCAGACATGGGTACGCTACTTTTCTGCTTATCATGCTCAACCTAGTGATTGATTGATCCTACAGAAGCCATTTCCATACCCACCAGGACAAAAAGGAGGGAAAATAACAAATATAATAGAAAAATAAATAAGATTACGTCCCATTGTTTTAAACTTTTAATTGTCATGAATACTATATCAGGCAGTTGACGTTTCAGGTTTCTTTTGTCCATTGTAGTCGCTAAAGCCCACATATTAAGGCTAAAATTATATTATGGGTTTTTCCTGGAGTTTAATGCAATGCCACGTTATTGTAGTAAATAGTTATTTATGTTATAGAGTCTATATCTCATGTATTTAGGACATATTTGGGTGCACTTAATTTTGTAATTTGTTTTTGCCACCAGGATTGACCTTTATGTTTTGTTGTTTTAGGCCTTTGAGTTGATTGAGTAATTTCTTAAATTTAGCCTTTTATTGTGTTAGACTGGTCCAGGATGGACCGGTCTAGTCAGTTCAGGAGGGACAGGCCTCAAGGTGAACAGGTTCCACTTGTTATAGAAGGCGGACAATTTCTGTCTCCAAACCGTGGGTCCAGCAGCCTTTTAGGGAGGAATTAGGATGGTTTAGGAGGGAAATTCAAAGGAGAGGCTGTTTAGATTTTTTTCTTTATTATTGTATGCTTTAAGTAGGATGTTTTCCTTGGGTTAGGGTAGGAAGAGTTGTGCTGAATTTAGTTTGTTCTTAGAGAGTTCTGGGCTCTAACCTGCAGCTAGAGATTGGGATAGCCGGATCCTCCTCTCCAATTGAGGATCCATTATATCTTGGTGTTTTTCTTCCACTATTATTAATTAAAAAGTTTATTTCTCATTATTCTTTCAAATTCTTCTCGATTCTATTTTTGCAAAGTGCTTAAATTCAAATTTAGCCAAGGAAATTCTTGGTTCCTACAAGTGTTTTCTATCAAATTGGTATCAGAGCATTGTCCTAGGCAGAAATATAGGATTATTGTTGATTTTTGCTGTGTTTTTCCTTCTGTATTGTTGATTTTGGCTGTTTGACCACCAAATCCATTGTGTTTTTATTGATTTTGTTATTTGGAGTTTAGATCCTGGTACTTATGGTAGGAAGAAGTGTAGAAGCGTTGGAGAGGGAGATTTGACAAATGAAATCTGAAATTTCATATCTACAAACCTAAATTTCATATTGCAAAAGTCAAATTGCTGCCGTCCACGAGAAGATCGATGGAAAATTTTCTATCATGGAGGAGATGTTGAAGAAATTGCTAGAGGGTCAAACCAAATTATTTTTGTCAAAGGTGAGGGAATCCACCGACAACCAAGGAAGTGAGAAAAACCCTAAGCCAAAAAGGCGAAGGGAAGATTAGGAGGTGAAGATTTTGAAGGGAGCAGAAAAAATGCATCCCATAGAGCCTATTCTTAGGGAGGACTTGGGTAGAGAGTATGTGGAGAGGTGTGAGGGGCTTAGGCATGAGTGGAGGGGTGTTGAATTTGAAAGGCGAGGCCTTGATTATGATCGAAGGGGTGTTGAATTTGAAAGGAGATGTGCTGAATTTGGTTAAGGGGTGCTTAATTTGAATGGAGAAGGTGGGCTTGTGATGAAAGGTTTGGGTACGAGTGGAGAAGGGATGATTGGCATAAGTAGTGGGAACCACCCCCTTGGGCAATGAGAAACTTTGGAGGAAGCTGAGGTGACATAAATCTGAGGGTGAGGAAGTTGAAGATGCCTATTTTTGAGGGAGAGTATGCATATGGGTGGATCTACAAGGTGGAAAGGTACTTTACCATCAAAAGGTTGACAGAGGAGGAGAGATTGTTGTCAGACAGGACATGTTTGCTGGGGAAAACTTTAGCATGGTACTAGTGGAGAGATACGAGGCAACCCATACGGACTTGGAGGGAGTTTAAGGACTGCTTGTTAGAACATTTTCAAACCAATAGGGGAGGGGACTTCTATGAGCAATCCTTCACCTTGACGCAGGAGGATACGGTGGTGGAATAACGTGAGTAGTTTGAGCACCTGGCCAACCGATTGGACCAACTTCGGGGAGGCTGTACTGGAGGGAAATTTTATGAAAGGGCTCAAACTAGAGATTCGAACAAAATTTAGAGTGACGAAGGCTCGTGATTTGGGAGAGGTTATAGAGCTAGCTCAGTTAGTGGAGGATCAGAGGCACTTAGAGAGAGACTAGAGGCAGCAGCTTAGGAGGTTCGCATAGAATGATCACCACCTTTTTGTCACCCAATGAACCGACACTAGTTACTCTTTGGGAGACCCCGAAGGAGAAGCTTGAAGGAGGAAGACATAGGGAAAACTTCAATAAGCTCACAGAAATGGAGTTACAGGAGAAGAGAGTGAAGGAGCTTTGTTTTAGATGTGAGGAGAGGTATACACCGGGGCACAGATGTAAGGACCAAACTTTTCAGGTTCTCACCATTTGTGATGACAAGAGAATTGTGGAGGGTATAGTCTTTCTACCTTGCGGATAAGGTTGGTCTTTGGGAGAGGGGTATTGTTAGACCTATCTAGGATGGACTGGTCCAAGAAGGACCGGCCTCAAGGCTGACATGTTCTGCCTGTTACAGAAGGCAGGCAGTTTCCGCCTCCAAACCATGGGTCAAGCAGACATCTTTTAGGGAGGAATTAGGGTGGTTTATGAGGGAAAGTTTAAAGGAGGGGATGTTTAGATATTTTCTTTATTATTGTATACATCAAGTAGGATGTTTTCATAGGGTTAGGGTAGGAAGAGTTTTGCTGAATTTAGTTTTTTCTTAAAGAGTTTTGGGCTCTAGCCGACAGATGATTAGGAGAGCCGGATCCTCCTCTCTAATTGAGGATCCATTGTATCTTACTGTTTTTCTTCCACTATTATCAATTAAAAAGTTTATCTCTGGTTATTCTTCCAAATTCTTCTCAATCTATTTTGCAAAGTGCTAAAATTCAAATTTATCCAAGGAAACTCTTGGTTCCTACAAGCATTTTCGGTCATATTGCTGGCCATGTCATCTATCAAGTCATATATCAAATGTTTGTGGCCTTGAACTTAAGCCAACCTAATAATTCCACCTATTTCCCTTGTCCAGACTGCCATATTTTGATATTTTGGAACTCCTATTGACCACCACCACTAAATTTGACATTCATATCTCCATTTAGACTAGCTATGTCATTCTTTACTTGCCACCTCATCAGCCCTGCAACTATGGCCACCTGCTCTCTTCCTTCTGAAAGTTCGTTAGGGATGTTAAGCCCTTATGAACTAGCCCAAGGCTAACCAAGAGGGGGGTGAATTGGTATTTTAAAAATTTCTTGATCAAAACACAAACTCAAACCAAAGTTCACCACAAAGAAAATCAAAGTGCGGAAATTAAAGACGGAAAAAGCAGTAATAAAGAACACAGAAATTTATAGTTGTTCGGTCAACTTGACCTACATCCACTCCCCGGAGGCGCCCTCCGAGTAGGCCTGTCAATATTGGGCCCGACCCAAAAACCCGACCCGAACCCGACTCGAAAATTTCGGGTTTGGGTTGACTCGAACCCGAAGGAAGTTGGGTTTGGGTCTGGAAAACCGACCCGTTTGCAAAAACAGGTCTGGTTTGGGTTGACCCGAAAACTTGGGAATAAATCGAAATGACCCAGAAAAGACCCTGCCCGTGTTGCATGCCTCCCCGACTGCCCGTCCATCGGGATGCCAGATCTGCCCGCGAGCCTGCATGGCCGCGAGCATCGAGTCGCAGTTGTTGCCTGCGTGACGCGCTAGAGCCCACGTCGCATCCCGGCGTGCGATGCCGCACCGGCGCCTACGGCTGCATCGAGCCTGCCGTTGCCCCGCTGGCCGCTACAGCTCCGAACGCCATTGCCAGCTTCCGACTACTGTCGTCGAACGCTGCTGCCGATGCCCACTGAACCTGCCAAACACAGTTGTCGCAGACGCTGCCCGCTGAAGCTGCCTAAACGGGTCGGGTCGGGTTGACCCGAACCTAAAGCGGGTTGGGTTCGGGTCAGGAAAATCGACCCGCTTGCAAAAACGGGTTGGGTTGACCCGAACCCGAATAGTGCCGGGTCAGTTCCGGGTTCGACCCGTAACTCAAAATTGACACCCCTACCTCCGAGTATTGCACCAAACTCAGTGACTTTTCTTTTGCTCCCATAACAAGGCAGAGAAGCCTTTACAAATCTCTTTTCCACCGGCATCGGTGAGGCAGAGAACCCGACTCCTTTTGATTCCTCCTGAAGTAGGCTGAGAACCTCGATCGATTGCTGTAGTAGGCCTCTCTCGAACCTCCAAGGAACTAACAACGATGACTGGAGAAGACGACTTGATTCCTTGCTTGAAGCAACCTTTGTGAAACCTCTCACAAACTCTCATTCACAAGATCCTCTCTCTCTCTCTCTCCCTTTCTCTTCCTCTCCTCTAGGCTCTCTCAGTTTAAGACAACAACAAATGATACACTCTTGGGTAAAACAAGAGGTCTTATATAGAAGAGCTTCAAAATAGCTCTTAATTGCAACAAACCGACATTATCGTCCAAGACGATCTGAAGATCATCCTGTACAATCAGTACAAATCTAGCTCAATTAGCCAGGACGATTTGGGATGATCAGAAGGAAATTTGTTCATATCGTCTATGACGATAGTATATCGTCCAGACCATCACCCTGGATGGGAGTCTGGATGATAAAAAAGTAACTTGATCATCTAGGACGATCTCGCGATCACCCAGGACTATTAGTTCAAAATATCACAGATCGTCCAGAACATCGCCCTGAATGGACGTCTGGATGATGAAATATTGACCTGATCGTCTGGGCCGATCTCATGATCGTCCTGGATGATTAGTTCAAAACAACGCAAATCATCCAGAACATCGCCCTGAATAAAACCAGGCCGATGTTCGATCATCTAGGAAGAATTAAGGTTTTGTTAACTGATCGTCCAGGACAATCGTGCGATCGTCCAGGATGATATGATCAAGCAATCAAACCTCAATTGCTTTCCTTAATTACCAGATTAATTTAGGCATAATTGTGTTGTATCGTCTAGGACGATGTCAAAAAATAAACATACCTAAACAGATCTAGCGGCTAATTTTTTCTGATTTTAGCCTATCGTCCAGGACGATGATAACATCGTCCGTAATGATGTGCTTAATAATTGCTGCCTTAACCAGGATGCCCTTATTAGGGTTTCTGTTTTTAACTGACCGTCCAGGACGATTTTTAGATTGTCCAGCAGTCCAGGACAACGTGATAAAAAATAGAGAACTATAAAATAATCAGAATTTTTCCCTCAAAGTATGTGTGTGCAAGGTTACTTTGCAACATGACCCACATTGATACAATTGACTCAAGAAAAGGAAAAAGATTACCAAGTGACTCAGTCCTAGTCTACCCAATCTTGAGCTGGCTTGAGTTGTACTTGATCTTGTGGACCTGAAACGTTAGTAGGCAAGACAGTCGTAGAAAAACAAGAATGTTTGCTATCATTAAAATTTTGTTCCCTGAAATCAGGTTCGCAACACCCTCTCTTTTATTGATTACTAGCTTTGGAATCAACTTGTATTTACTAGGTTTTGCTTAGAAACTTACATTGACTACTTGGAAATCATAAGTCATGCTTCAAAATCCTCCTACCATTTTTCACCATTTTTTTGCACCCTCCCTCTTACCTCTCTTGATTTGGTTCTTGCTCAAAGTCTTTATATATGACCTTGTATGGAATGAAAAAGGATTTTGATTGTTGAATGTAATTGTCCTTGAGTGCTCTTTATGCATTCTCTTTGTGAGCTCACAATCTTTGAAGAAGGATTTTCAAGGAAGGAGAATTAATCTATGGCAAAGGATTGCTCCTAGAGGACAATATTTGCTTATCCCAAGTTCTTATCCAATATCCACGATCTCATAAGATCTTCTTACATTAGAATTTTGTTCTTGTCGCTTCTTATTTTATAAACTCACTAGTCTCACTTTAGAGCTTATTGTATCTTTCAATCAACCAAAACTTTTATTTTTTTAGTTCAATGAGTAATCCGTGTTAATCCACTAGTATGATTGATTGTTGAAGAAATATTTAGCATATGTTTGCGTTGTATCTTTATTGTTTTTACTTTAGATGAGAACAATATTTTAAAATCGTGCCATCGGGTATTAAGACATTTTCTGTTATTTGAGGTGAGGTGTAGGCTTAAGAATTAAACTATTAAATTAATAAAAATATGAAATGATTAGTAATAATTACATCGAACTAAGTCATAGCAATAAGTCTCTCCTACTCCCAATTCAACATAAACAATCAGTCTAAATTTTAAGATTATACTTTATGAATTCAAAAGTCTCCCAACTCTCATTATTTATTGGGCCTTCATTAGAATCATCATTGCGCAGAGGCATGCCTCAGCCTCACTAAGGTGTACGCCTCATCAGGCTAAGGTTTGACGTTCGCCTCATGATGCTTTTTTCGAAACTGTGCTGAGGCAAGCCTTGTGATGTGCCTCTTATTGTGCAATTTAAGCTGTGGATGTTTTTTCTTTCTTATGTGTTTATTCACATATAAATTCTAGTGCATAAATAAACATGTAGTTTTGTAATTTTTTGCATCATTTTATTAGTCATTTTTTGTATCTATATCAAATGTGTTTTGTCTCCTTTGAAATTTTCGTGGTTTGTTCTAACCTTTATGATTGACATCTCCTAAAATTTCATTACATTGAAATTCATTTGGTTTGTCAATTGCATTCATATATATTTTTTGTCCTAAATATATATTCTTTGTATTTTTCCTAGAACTTTGCTGCTTAAAGTCCAATTATTGCTTCAACGTTGTCAATTTTCATATGTTTGATGAGATCTATGACTTCTAGTAGATTCTTTTTCCAAATTCACCCATCTAGGTTACTAAAAAAAATGTAGAACTCGAGTGCTGTGTTATAAACACCTGGTAAAGTAGACATTTTGGCACATTCAAAATGACTACTCATAGTGGAACCTCTTACCAAACACAAGACCATATAATTGATGAGAACTTTTCTCATTTGTGTGAGCAAATGGATGACGTTATATGTGCAGTTTGAGAGATGAATACTCAATTAGCTGCTGTTGATGGCAGAAATCCTTGGAACAAAGTTAAAATCCACTTGAATTTGGCTGCTCTCGTTAATGTGTACAACAAAGTTATTACCCCTGATTAGCCTCCTCGTCCAACTCATTTTTGCAAATCATTTGCCTCATCTGTACCTCTCCTCAAAATACATGGAAATTATGTTGATCCCTTCGACGATTCTCTCTAGTTCGATGAGGCTCCTTATCAAGTATATTGTCAAGCTGATGCCCTGTAGAATGATATGGCCAACTTGCTCCATATATTATTGAGCGTGATTGTTAGCCTCTTGACACCCATTAGGTTGTGCCTATCGTAATGTTACCCTGGGCATAATGACAACGTTCTTTATTTTGAAATGACCTAAAGAATCAAAGTAAACCCTCTTACTGCTGGTAGTTTCGTGGACCTGGAGGTTTTCATGGTTTGGATTATGGACATGAACTAATTCTTTGATTGAATCACCATGTCTAAAAACCAATTATTAAATCTGCTTATACGAAATTGGTTTGTCATGCCAAGTCTTATTAGAACAACGATGAACGACAACTCAGGCTTCATTTGGGACAACTTTTTTGTTACTTCTTAAAGCAGCTTTCTAGTACAAAATTTTAAATTTCTTACTAAAAAGCTGCTTTAAGAAGCAGTAAAAAAACTGTCCCAAATGAAGCCTTAGTCATTTTGGCCAACCTATTCGAAGCTCTTGGGTAGAGCTGAAGGAAACATTGAAACTTAAGTACCTCCCTCCCACTACTTCTTGGATGAGTTGATTACTTTTCAACTAATAGCTAGTCTAATTTGATCGAGTGGCGAAGGTCTATTTTGTGTGCATTTGCATTGCACATGTATTGTCCCAAATCAGATGACTACCTAAAAGTTTTGCTCGTGCAGGTTTGTTAGTCCTCAGGACTTCGGTTACTTATCGCTGTTGCATAGCTTAAGGAGTGGAAATTGCTCTTGAACCTATTAAGGCGAGTTTTTCTGTTTCAAATCTCGCAACATGCTGTTATTATTGTCTCATCTTGCTGCTGGTTAGTTGATTGTATTCTCAGTTGTCCTATTGTTTTCATTATAAAGAGGAGGCCACCTGTACAGTAAGAATTGAATACTTCAATTCTTCATAATAAAAATCATTGTCATGATAATAAGAATGTAATCATTAATTGTTGAACATATATAAAATTTTGTTATGTTATTCTTTTCTGTTTTCTATATTTTTTTTCAGCTCTGAATATTTGAACAAATTTCACCTATTTCTGAACAGATTGTTACCCATTATTTTTCTTTTTGGAATCTGAAAGTTCTGAACTGAAAGTTCTGATAAAATCATTTTGATGCATGATTATGATTATGCTGCCACAATCATTCATGATTGAATATCTTTGATAAGCTTCCATTAAGTTGTTTGGTATAGAGAATATTACAGCTGAGTTTCTATACCTGCACCTTGTATTCGGCTTGATTTTTTTTTTTTCTTTCTGAGTATAAACTATATTGAGCTCAATTTGCATTCAGCTAACAAAGTGAATTAAATGGAATCTGAGCTATTTTTTTTTTGCAGGATCAACGGTCGAATCCAGTTCATCAGAATTTTAAAATTTATTTTCAGCCAGTATTATACATCTGAGCTTCAAGCAAATCTCAACTTTATTTATACTTGAACTTTGCCGAGTGGCCGATACTTGGAAGGACTATTGCTAATGATGTTGAAGTTTAAACTCTAGTGGCCTTATAGTTTAAAGTTTCATTTGGGGCGATTTTTTTACTGTTTTTTAAAACAATTTTTTAATATAAAAAGTTTTTAAATTAAAATTTTTTGTATAAGAAAGTCATTCCCAAATGAAGCCTAAATTTTCCTGAATTGGCTTTGGAGCACAAAAAAAAAAAAAAAAAAAAATCTTTCCCATTGCAATTTTATAATCACTTCTTAAAAAGTTGTAGTCATAACAAATAGATCCTAAAACTTTTTTAACCCTATATTGACTAATAAGTTAACACAAGTTCCTCCACTCTAATGCTAAAAAATCTTGATTAGTTAAATGAAATGCCATTGACAACCTAAATTGTTTTTTTTTTTTTCACTCCCTTTTTGGCAACCTTCATTGTGCCTTGTGTTCTTTGATCAATTTAGGGTTTGAGGGATCATCTAGGGCCTATAAAGTAACAAACAAGTCATTGGATATTTGAATTCATTTAGGGGTGAGAAGGCAGAGAGCCACTTAAGGGAATCTAAGTGAGTGTCATTTAGGTTTGAGGATGGCTAAGAAGTTAGGTTTGATAAAGCATAAACCCAAAACCTGAATTGTTTGTAGACTTATGTCTCAAGAAATTGATTTGATAAAGCATAAATCTTCCCATCATTTTTAGATTTCAAACATTAAAATATTCAAAAAATTATTCTAAGATATTGAACTCTATTTTCAGTAAACGTATACTTGCGATGAGAATCCCGATGAGATGCCTTTTTTGCTTTTACTCATGATAGGAGCTCATATGGAGTAAAGGAGTCATGTCATAGTGTTGAAAGTAATATTTAATCATATTACTCTTGTACTCTAAAGAATTAATAGATGTCTTTTATATATCTCATTGTCCATTTAATGCATACAATGATTATGTGTATATTTAAAACTTAGTGTGATGTATAGCCTTAACTGAGGAATGTAAGAACAATCAAGAATATTGAAATATAATGTTGTCATGCCTAGACATATGTTGTTTGATTATCTACATTCAATGGAGATAATACAACTCTATGAGGTTAGCAAATATCTTTTTCACTCATATAAGCTAGACTGAGATCAAGGATGTATATGCTCTGATCCACATCTAAAATTAAGAGGCCCATTAGAAATTTATGATATTTACTTACATTAATCCAAAATATCAACTATACTACTTATTTTTATTCAATGATAGGAATTTAAAAACATCATTTTTATTTTCATAGGATAACTTATGTAATTATAGTAGATAGTAGTCATATACCATCAAAGAATTTTCTTGATCGGGCATGAATCTCGAAGCAAAATCAAGTTAGAAACTTCAAAAATTAAATTGATAACCATTGGAACTCTGATTATAGTAAACTTATAATCAAACTGAAGGTCTCGAAAATACAAACCCAACGATACTAAATTCAACCCAATCCAAGCTCAAATAGGTCCAAATTAAAGACCCAAAGTGCGCTTGTAAGATTCAATCCATAATTTGGATTACCAAACACTTTCTGCATGTGACATGGTTATGGTTGAATCGAGCGACTTTACGAGGAAAATCCTATATGCCTAAGATCATCAAATTCTGATATCATTAAAATAATTAAATTCTCAGTAAATTGTCCATGATCAAGGGATTCAACATCGGCCGTCCATTCAAACTACTTCCAATTTACTTTTGATCTTCCCTCTATTTATTAGCGATGCTACTCTTAGAAAAATATAAAAATAGACCCCTCATTTCTCATGAGAGGGAACCCCAAGAAAGAAAAGAAGAGAATGAAGCAATGAAGCAAGAATAAAAGGAAAAAAAGGAAGAGAAAGAGGAAAAAGCTCTCAGGCCACCAAACTCCTTGACCATTGTAGGACTTCCACCGGCAGCCGACTGATGTCGGAGTTATGCCCGACCAATGACTGATGCCAAAATTCTACCTGACTGCTATCTGACACTAGAGTTCTGCTCGACTGCCAAGTAATGTCGGAGTTCTGCCCAGCCACCGACTAACGTCGGAGTTCTGCCTGACAGTCGACTAACGACAGATTTTTTCCTGACCGTCAATTGAAGCTAGATTTTTCTCTGACCACCAAATGTCACTGGATTTCCAACCTCCATTTTTAAGTGTATTTGAACACAACAGTTGATTATTGTAATATGATCGTCGTCAATCTTGGGGACGAGTCAGTCACTTGTAATCCAACCAAATACTATTGGAACCATTATTGGGCGTACCCCCGTAGTTTCTTTTTCAGGGTTTCCACATAAAATTTTGGTGTTCCTTTTTTATTATGTTTGTATGTTGGATATCCATACAAGGCTAAAATGAAAAAAAAAAAACACTCTTACTCTATCACTACTTATATTCTAGCCCGCAATAGTTTGGTGCCGCTTGTGGGAAATAATCCCACAATTCTAAGTATAATTTCTTCAATGGATAATAGGCATAACAATCACATATTGGGAGCCTTCCGCTTCAGCACCTATCAATCTAGGAATCAGTCTATGAATCATGGATGCTAAGTATTCACCTCTTTTTATTGTGGGGGGAAAAATATAGTTGGATAAGGAACTTTAAGACCTTCCCTAGAAGAACATATCTAAAAGATGGAATAATCTTAAAATGTGATCCTTCAACTCTTGCGAAAGACTTGGCAACTGGTGCTAACACCATAGGAGGATGTTCTTCTCCCTAGAGATCCACCACTAGCCAAAGATGTTAAACTATAACATCTTCATGTATAGATTCCTCTTCCTCCGCCAAGGAGGCATCTATAATCACATCAAGACAACAAACTTGCTGACACTACAAGTTTTACCCATCCTTCGCAAACAGGTTGACAATCTCACATTCCTACAAACATCCCTTAAGACTTAGTTTGACCGCACGTTGTTGAGCTCTCTCCCATTGCCCTAAAACATGAACTGCAAAGATTGGTTTGAAAAGACCCCCCGTCGATGGTGTAAGACAATCTCTTTGTCAGAGGGACTTCCAAAAGTCATCACCTCTGAACAAAGCTATTCTTCAACACCCTATTTTGGTAGGATTCAAACTACTAAGCATCGATTTCTATAGTGGGACATTTGACTCGTACAAGTATATCAATCACTATAAAACCATGATACAAATCCAACAAGCCTCTATCAGGTTTTTCTTGTTACCCTCAAAGGATAAGCTCGAATATAGTTCTATTCACTTCTAGCTAGAATGATCCCTACATTCCTCAAATTGGGTAAAGTGTTTGTCCAATAATTCATTACCAATCGAAGAATTGCTAAAGATTCTTCTCACATCTCCAGGATCAGCCAAAATAAAGGAGAATATCTAAAAGAGTATTTTCAATGATTTTCCACCGATGCTTGGCAAATTATATGATTAGTTCCTGAATTGCTAAGAGAAGTCTTTCTTAGAGGCCTCCATCTTAACCTCTTTTATTTGGCACTCATGCGAGACATGGTTCATTCATACGCCAACTTAATCCATCATATGGAGGCACAAACTTCTATAGATGAAGCCATAAATGCTCATAAAAAATATTTTGAGCAAATAAATGAAAAGAGCAAAAGTGCACCTGGGATGGATAATTTATTCTCACAATAAAAGAAATAAGGGAAAAATAATATGCCTCATAGGCCTCCCAATGCCACGATGGGAACCTCGATAGGAGGAGTATACACCACTGAACATAACACCAAAAAAGGCTCTTATCGATCATTTTATTACTTTTGACGATTCTAATTTAGAGGGAATAAAAACCCTCATCAAGATATGCTTGTGATTAATGCGAGGATAGGTGGTCTGTTTTATAACATCAAAAGGATTCTTGTGGACAATAGGAGCTCCGTGGATGTCTTATTCTATACTACTTTTCTCAATACGGGTCTCACCAGAGAAAAGCTTCACACTATTGTAGGTCCACTATATGGGTTTGACAATCGACCTGTACAAGCGAAAGAGATAATAAGTCTCCTAGTTGTACTTGAAAATTTTTCCCGACAAACTATACACTCCATCCAGTTCAATGTAGTAAAGTTGAAATTGACTTACAATGCTATTTTTGGAAGGCCACTCTAGTCAATCTTTGGGATTATCGCCTCCATCCCCCACCTCAAACTGAAGTTTCTCACCTATACAGGGGTTAGTGTAGTATGCGGAGATCAACAAGTAGCATAAAATTATTATCGTAGGCATGCTCAACCACATTCATCAATTACCCTGAGCATCAAGGATTTTGATCTATGGAGTGAGGATATCCCTCAAAGGGCTTCTCCTATAAATATCTCACTATTATATTTATATAAAAAAAACACTCTTCAAGGGCTATATATATCAGGTCTCTTCTCTCAAACGAGAAGAAAAAATATGTAGATTTTTTATGTAAGAATCTAAATATTTTTGCTTGGAGTTCGGCAGATATTCACAAAATTGACCATGAAGTAATCGTGCACTCCCTCAAAGTCGACCTGACGTGCAAGCTAGTAATCTAGAAGAAATAAAATTTTTGTCAGAACATTAACAAGCAATTGAGCATGAAGTGGATTAGCTTTTGAATGTTGGATTTATACGAGAAGCGAACTATCCCACTTGGTTGGAAAATGTCATCATGGTATTGAAGGCAAGTAGGGCTTAGAGAATGTGTTTAGACTATATAGATTTCATCAAAGCTTGCCCCAAGAATAGTTTTTCACTTCCTCATATTGACTAATTGGTTGATACCACCTCCGGATATTAAATGCTAAGCTTCATGGATACCTACTCAGGTTACAATCAAATAAAGATAGATCATGCAGATGAAGAGGCAACAACTTTTTGAACAGACATGGGGTTATATTATTATTTGGTGATGCCGTTTGGGCTCAAAAACATTTGATCCACGTATTAACGCCTTATAAATAAGGTTTTTAAAGACCTTATTGAAAGATCTTATTGGGCACACTATGGAAGTATATGCTGATGATATGTTGGTGAAATGTCTTGAAAATTCTTAATATATATCTGACTTGGAATAGTGCTTCCTTCTGCTACGATGTTACAACATGCAACTTAACCCT